TTACATTTGCAGAGAGACAGTTCATATGTCTGTCCTTACTGGGGCATTTGAAAAGAGAAAATAACCGAACATATCAAAATAGTTAAACTTCTGTTATTTTGTGAGAACCGACCAGAGAATATAATAGTAGCAAAGTACTTAGACATAGAATGGTATGTCTATAAACTAATAATCTAAAAATCTATATGCATTACCTCTAAAAGCATTTATACTCCTAGCCCTTCAAAAATAAATTTTAATAATTTTATACTGTTATTATTTTCATGTATGCATTTATGGGTTCTAGTATGGTAATTTCAAATTCTTAAGACTTGTTTATTTTTATTTGCTGTTAATCTATATTTTTCATTTGCTAAAACTTCCAGAGACCCATAAGCCACTTATTTACTTGGAATTTCCTAGAGAACCTTCCGCATATTATATCTCCTGGAGAACTCACATTGAGAAGTCTCTACCTCTACATTGACCCACTCATGCGTGTGTGTGGTTTTTATTGACCCAGAAATTCTTTATAAGAACTTTTTCAGTAACACAGGAATGAGATGACAATTCACAGGAATGAAATGTGTATGTGTATGGTTTTGGTGAATTGTATAGTTGTGAATAAGAACATAGACAAAATATTGAAGGTCCCTTAATTTATTCCATTATAATCAACAAATCTAAAACCTGTCACTATTCTTGACAACTAGATCTGTCTTCTGAGATGTTAACTGCTCTTGAGAAACCAGATAATTCAATATGGGGGTTAGGGTGATCAATTATCTTCAAATTAATATGCGTTTAGTAGTTTAACTTGGAATCTGAATTTGTTAGAAAAAAAAGGTAAAACCTATGCTACTCAAGCATGAGATTTTAAGGACATTAAAGACTTTCAGAGTGTTTTTAGGTATTGAGAAACACAGCCAAACAGCTTGGGAAGATGTTAAAATTTAGAGACAACCTTGGAAATCATAGAGAAGTGATTTCTGTGGGTCAGATGATGGAATATTTCTACTCACACTGGGAATACGGGATATGCTGCAAACAAAAATTCACTTTAATGACTGAGAATTCAGGCATGGGCTTGACAGAATGGCTGACATCTCATGACTCTAGACGCTTCTATGTGACCGTGGGCAAAGAGTGTCATTTGCAGTGTGGGTGTTTGCAGTGTCTGTTTATTATTTATTTCAGAGTCTCTCAGATGAGGGGGTGAATGAGAGAATTCACAGAAAGAATGGGAAAAAATGCTTGGCACCTATTATTTGCTTATTTGGTGATAGCTTATAGTAGGACTAATGTAATGCTTTTTGTTTACGTAAAAGCATCCTCCATTAGAATACTTGACAAAATGTTCAGGGAAATTTAGGATCCCTTTGTTTTAAATTGCCAGGCAGCAGAAAGTATCTGGTGAATGTTTGTCCATTCACAGTCCATAGGAAATTGGTTTCAGTGAAGAAAGGAAATTCATCATCATGCTGGAACAACTGTCAGTCTCTGAGATTGATTTTTGTGAGTGTGGAATGACTACTTTACCCAAGGTTGTTAGAGTGGGGGCTTTACAAGGAGGTTGTCTGGTAGTTAAGTCTGTTTAAAAAGATGTTTCTGTAAATACGCTTAAGTGCTTCCTGTTTCAGACTGGTTTTTGCTGAGTGACACAGCCCTGTATCATGTGAGTGTCTGGAGCTTAAAATGCAGGAAGCCATAGATCATTCTTAATGAATAAATCATGTGTGCGCCTGCTGTCAGTTTTGCTGATGCTTTCACAGAAGCCGAGCCTAGTGCTGTGATATACTATCGGTAGTCAGGGGTTGCCTGGTCAGCTCTTCAGCAACTGGTGCAGCAGTAACATCTGCTCCTCTCCACGTTTCTTTCTTTCAGAGCATGGAAGCACAATTTTAAAAAAGTACAGTAAAATGTATCCAATTGTAACCATTATTTTTTATGTTAGGAAATAACACATCTATAAAAGTAAAGAAATATTATGTCGTCGATATAACCTCATTGTTTGAGGAATCCCATAGTCTGATTCTTTATTTAAATCGAATTGGATTTCTGCTAAAAACTGCACGACGTTGCTGTGCCACTTTGGGGTTGCATTAGTGGGAAAAGGGATGATGAAAGGCAAACAACAACAACAAAAATTAAAATGATGAAATATTTCAGTACTTGTCTTTAAAAATGAATGGTCTGAATAGATGATTCATGTTTAGAAGATAAACAGGTTATTACTATTGTTTATTTTTTTATTTTTTCATACATTACATCTTGACAGGAGCTTTTACTCCTCCTACCTCCCATTCACTCCTCTTCAGCTTCCCTTCAGAAAAGGGCTGGCCTCCCATGGATAACAGTCAAACATGGCATATCAAGTTGCAGTTAGTCTAGGCAGTGCCTATTGTATTAAGGCTGGACCTTTGACCTACAGTTTGTTCTGGCTACAAAAAAATATTATTTATTAAGAAATAGATAAGTCAAATATATGAAAAGCAGCTTAGGCTTTTTACTAACTTGTGCTAATATTATATGCAGAAACCTTGTAAAAGTGGATACTTAGCAAGAGTTTCCTTTTGGAGTCACTTAGCAAATAACTGATTTTTTTTAAAATAAAAATTAGCTTTAAAAATGTATTAATATAAGAGGTGAATAGCATAATGGTGACTAAAGCATATTTTATGAGCATACTTGGCCTAATAACTATTTGATCCATATCCTAAAGAAACTTTTATTAATCTAGTTAGAAGAGCTAAGTGAATACATTTTTACAATACAGTATGATAACAGCTATAATAAAGGCATTCACAGGACACCAGGGAAGCCAAAACAGGAGCCTTTCCATCATGTGGAATGCTGCTGAAAGTCTAATTACATTGGAGAGTCCTGTTAGAACACACAGGATATCAGTGTGCCTGGTATGGTACTGATCACAAATGGACTTGTGGATGAAATGAAAAGGTCTTAGTTATGACCAGAAGGTGGGAAGAAGCCTTGAGGAATTTTAATTACAAGAGACATGTGAGTAGAAAGGCATTTTTGAGGGAGGGGCTATGGCTGGGATACAAAGTAAATAACCTGCGATTAATATAAAAAATAAAAATTATGAAAAAATTTGTTTTTACTTTGGGATAGAGTGTAAACAAGAGAATGATGAGGTCAGAGACAGGTTACAAATAGAAGGCAAATGATGAAAAATGGACTCTGGAACCAACATGGCCTTTTTAATTGTGTCAAGTTTGTAAAGAGGTTCACAGCTTTGAGAGAACCTTAAAAGATAAACATAATGCTTGATAATATGGGTGGGCAGTGAAAAAGAAAAAAAATATGAGAAACTTCTTATTTTTTTGAGAAATATTCTTCTGTAGTACTAGAAGGATGCATTTTTGGAAGAATTTCCATGTATCTGATATAAATGGAATCATAGATGGTATTTTATACTTAAACATGTTAAAATACTCCAATAAACTTGGTAAAATCCAAGACTAGAAATTCTTTTTCCCACAGCTCTGGAATCACCCATTCTGAAATCAGTACCAGAAGGTCCCAGCACCCTCTTTAAGGAGCTGTGGGAAAGCCTTTTCTTTGTTTCTTCTAGCTTTGCTTATATGCTTTTTTTTTTTTTTTTTTTACAAAATTATAAATGGATAAGAACCTTGTTATTCATAAAAAATACGTTCTCAATATCTGCATTTATATCGTTTGACAAAAGCTTCACTCAGGCCAATCAGAAAAGTACCTCTTTACAGTGAACTGTAGTGGATACTGAGATGAGTTGCCATCCAATATGCTGAGGCAAAGAGGCTAATGAGGCTCAGTCCTAACTGAATCATTTCTGTTACCCCCTCTAAAGCTCAAGGAACGCTGTGGCAGAAAGGAAAGAATAATGGAAAATCTGGAAGACGGGGAAATCTGATCCTTTTGACACCACACAACCAATGTGATCGCAAACACACAGCAGCTGTGGTTACTTGCACAGTGTCTGCAAAACACAGGCTATCTCAGCAGTTCGTAAGGCACAGGGGGAGGGCTCATGTATCCCTATGCATTAATGCTGAACTACTGTCTAGTGATAGACTCCGGGAGAAAGGGAGGGGGGGCATTGATTTTAGTTATGTGCCTAAGAGTGGACCTGTCTGACTTCAAGGGATAGTTCCAATTCCTTGGCTACACAGAGGCCCTGGTCAAATGCAGAGACATACAAACAAAGAGAAATGACTGTACAAAGACCTTAGGAAGGAAGATGGGTGGACAAAAGAGGGATGGAAGTCAGCGGTGAGGTAATACAGCAGCGAAGAAAATCAAAGTGCATTATACGTGAGTATGAGGCTGTTAAAGAACATCGTAAAAAAAAAAAAAAAAGATGCCAGATTAAAAAACAGAAAAAAACAGAGCTCCATTATTTTTCTATTGGTTGCCAGGGAAACCCCAGACCTCTATTTAATATACTGTTCTTCTAGCTTGGTTCACTTGACATTTCTTGTGACCAACTCGCTCTACTCTTTAAGGCTACTAACTTTAGCTACCTCTCCACCCGCACCTGCCTCACATTACATCTTTTCCACGTGTGGAATCTACCTCTTTTTAATAAGGATATTTGCAATTCCATGCATGTCTACCTGATAATCCAGAATTACTTCTCCATCTCAAAGTATGAAGGAACATCTCAAATATCGAGGTAACAAGAGGAAAAAGTTGTACCTCGGATTTCGTGGGAAACGATTTGATCCAATGCTATCAATAATGTCATCTTCAAACCCCTCCCCATTGTTGAAACCATCCTGAAGAACCTATTTCAGAAATCAAAAGGACAAGCACATGTTGAATATACATGTTTGCTTGCTTCCCAGTGTTTTTTGGTTCATCATTTGAACAATAAAATATCTTCTTTATCAAAATATAAGGTTGTCATTCTTTTTCATTTTATTTTTAGCGATGTTACTGTTTCCATTTGGGGATAAGTGAATTTAATATTCTTTGCACAACTTACTCTAGGACTTTCCTTTTTTAAAAATGAATTTTATCCTGCCCCTAGAGGCATTGCAGGAGTCACTGCTGAATCACATCCATGTGTGCCAATAGGTGGAAGAGAGGAGAGAGGCTATGTCTACACTCAGTATTCTGAGCTGTGACTAGCTGAATGACTGGTAACCTAACACTGGCTCCAGCGGGCCGGACAGGAAGCTAGCCTGAGATGACCACCAACCAGTCTGGCGCCACGCAGGCCTGGGTGGCGGGAAGACCATGCTCGAGATGACCCCTGCATGGTGCATGAGTGGGGAGTAACACTCCTGAGATGACCCCAGACACCCAGAGACCCCGGGAGCCACTAAGAGGAGCAAGGAGGTGGTGAGGAAATGGAAGAGAAAGAGAAAGGTATATACGGACGGGTCAAAAACAGTTATAGAAAGGAAGCTATAAATTCGTAACTTCAGTGCATGGGAAGAGCTGCATGGGAGACTGGAGGGATCAAAGGGAAGGAAGAAAAAGACATAATTTTGTTTTAATTTAAAATGCATATTTTTTTATATTTTTAACTTTCTATTGATTCTTTGTGAATTTCACCTCATGCGCCACAATCCCGCTTATCATCTCTCCGTTCATGCCCACCCTCCATCCTTGCAAACTTCTCACTAACAGAGAAAAAAAAAAATCGCATTGTGGAAGATATAGTGTGTCACAATGTATCCCATAGTATACTTTTTGTTCACACTTCTTTTCCTGCAAATGTTCATTGCAATGAGCCACTGGTCTAGTATGAGGCCTCGGGCTTCTGTTACTCTATCAATATTTGATGCTTTCGGGGGTTTCTCTTGGACATCCTGAAGCCCCACTGTCCTCCATCCCAGGAATCCTGTGAGGCGCTGGTGCGGCTCTAGGCTTGGAGATATTTCTACCTGCTCCCCAGCTGCCTGGCCCTCCTGGGTCACAAACAGTGAGCCCAGCACAGACAGTGAACCCTGTGGAGCTGAGCTAGCATGGGACCCAATTCCCATTGCCCTCCACCCTGAGGAGGCCTGTGAGGCGCTGGCGCAGCTCTGGGCTTGGAGATATATCTGCCTGCGCCCCAGCTGCTGGCATACCTCGATCATAAATGGTGCTCCAGCAGAGACAGTGAACTCAGCATAGTGCCCTCCCTTCCTTAGCTGCATCTGAATCTCCAGCACCCATTCTTGAGCCTCTGCACATCTCTCATTTTCCTGTAGACTAGTTCAGACTCCAGAGACAGATGAACCCAGTCTACAATACAGGCTCCAGGAACAAACTGTCAAAGCTACAGACAACCAGATGACTAGAGGCCAGCTTAAGAACGCAACCGTCAAAACCCAGGACATCATAGCTTCACCAGAATCCTGTAAAAACAATGAATACTCTAATGCAGATGAAATAGAGGAAAATGATCTTAAATCTATGATTACGAAGTTATTAGACAGACATAAAGAGAAAACAAATAGAGGCCTTCACAGACAGACAGAAATCCACATTCAAACAGGTGAAAGAAATGAATAAAATTGCTTAAGACATGAAAACAGAATAAGAATCAATAAAGAAAACACAAACTCAGAAAACCCTGGAGATGGAGAACTTAGAAGAGATCAGGAACCAAAGGATAAGCATCACCAACAGAATACAAGAGATGGAGGAGAGAGTCTCAGTCACTAAAGATACAATTGCAGAAACTTATACATATCTCAAAGAAAACACAAAAATGGAAACGTTCTTGACACGAAACACCCAAGAAATCAAGGACACCATGAAAAGAGAAAACCTAAGAATAATATGAATAGATAAAAAAGAAGATTCCAGGATCCAAGGTCCAGAAAATATTGTTAAGAAAATCATAGAAGAAAAATTTCCCAACCTAAAAAAAGATATATATGTCCTTAAACATATAAGAAGCTCACAGAACACCATATTGACCAGGCCAGAAAAGACATTCCTCCTACCACGTAATAATCAAAACACTAAATCTACAGAACAAAGAAAAATTGTTAAAAGCAATAAGGGAAAATGTCCAAGTAACATATAAAGAAATACCTATCAGAATCACACTAGACTACTCAACAGAGACTATGAAAGCCAGAAGGGCCTGGACAGATATCATGCAGACAATAAGAGACCACAGATGCCAACCCAGACTACTATACCCAGCAAAATATTCCATTAACGTAAATGGAGAAAACAAAATTTTCCATAGCATAACTAAATTTAAACAGTATGTAACAAACTAGCCCTATAGAAGATACTAGAAGGAAACTCCAACCAAATGAGATCAACTACACTCAAGAAAACACTCAAGATAAAGATGCCTTCTCAACAATAAGGAGAATAATGCTACCTCAAGACCTAGCTTCACCACTACTGGCCATATATCCAAAAGATTCTCTACTGTGTTCATTGCAGCTTTATTCATAATAGACAGAATCTGGAAACAACCTAGCTGTTCCTCAACTGAAGAATAGATACTGAAATTGTGGTACATTTACACAGTGGAATACTACTCAGCTATAAAAAAAAAAAAAAAAAAAAAAAAAAAAAAAAAACCAAGGAAATCATGAAATTGCAGGCAAATGGACAGAACTAGAAAAGATCACCCTGAGTGAGAGAACCCATAAGCAGAAAGACATGCATGGTATATACTCATTTATAAATGGATATTAGCCATATAATATAGGACAAACATACTAAAATCCTACACCTAAAGAAGCTAAACAACAGAGGATCCTAGGGAATATGTTTAATTCTCATTCAGAAGGGCAAACAGGATAGATACCAGAAGAGGTACAAGAAAGGGAACAGGATAGGAGCCTACCACAGATGTTCTCTAAAAGACTCCTACAGCAGGGGATCAAAGCAGATGTAGATACTCACAGCCAAATTTAGGACAGAGCACAAGAGTCTTTTCAAGGGAGGGGATCTAGAAAGGCTTGGAGGGGACAGGAGCCCCATAAGGACACCAACAAAGCCAAAAAAGATTTGGGTGTTGAACAATTATTAATATTTAATATTGATTTATATTTTAGTAAAGCAGCAGTTATTCCTTTACCAGCTAATCCAAATCACCACACAGAGATTAGGATTTATGTAATTAACATTGAGCACACTGCTGGGCAATAATTACTCCATTCTAAACCTCCAAGCCTGTATGGCTTCTTCCCATTCAGATTTCTTACATTATACTTGCTTTTTAGTCATATCTTAGGTCTGATTCATTTCTTCCTCTCCTTTTGATTCTCCCATGCACTCACTGTACTCTTTCTCCTCCCCTCACCAGACTAGGATGTCCCACCCTGTTCTCTCCATTGCTCAGTATTGGCTGTTTGGTTTTATTGGCAATACAGAGAACAAATGGTATCATGTTTACACAAACTTGAGACAGTGGATGCTTAGAATAAACATCACAATGCGAAGTCCCCATTGAAACAAGGTAGTGGAGTAGAGAAATTAGCATTTGAATGAGGAAGGATAAACTGTACACAGTCCACAAGAAGATTCTGTCAAAAGCCGGTCCAGAGGGAACTGCAGAGACTGATGCACTAACCAAAGACCATGCAGAGAGAGGACTTAGACCCCTGCTCAGATGTAGCCCATAGACAGCTTAGTCTCAATGTGGGTTCCCTAGTAAGGGGAGAAGAGACAGTCTCTATCTCCTGCTCTGACCTTTGCCTACTCCTTGATCATTTCTCCCTGGTGGGGTGACCTAGCCAGCCCACAGAGGAAGAGGATCCAGGCAGTCCTGTTGGGCCTGGATAGGTTAGGGTCAGACAGTAGGGGAGAAGGACTTCCCCTTCCCCTATCAGTGGATTAGGGGAGAGGAATAAGGGAGGGAGAAGGAGGGAGTGTACAATAGGGAGGAGATGAGGAACAGGGCTAGAACTGGGAAACAAAGTGAAAAAACTGCCAACAACAGTAATAATAATAACAAATTAAAAAAATAATGTGTAGCAGCAGTTCTGTCACTATGGGGAAATTCAATTCTAATTCACAAATTCTCAAACAAAAGCAACAACAAAATCAAGAGCACTCCATTTGTACAAGGCATTATTAGAGGTAGAGTTTTGAGGTTTTTGAAAAATATAAATCTTGAGCAAGAAACTTGAGTCACCAGTTTTGACCTGTAATCTTAGTGGTGCAGTAAAAAATCACGTAACATTTTAATTAAGAAGTTTGCTTGCATCCAGTTCCTAACAGCAATTTTTCAATCACACATTTTATGAATTCACACCTTCTATTACATAATGAAAATCAGGATCATAAAAAGGGAAATAAGGAGAACCCACCTCATTGCCCCAGTCTTCTTCAATAGACTCCATATCACAAAGTGAACACTTTCCCTTAGGAGATGGTGATATTAAATAAGCTCGTAAATAAAGGCATAATTGGGGATTTATTTTCCTATTGGAAAGCTTTGGAAATGATAGACAATGCTGTTGTTTAATTTATCTTTTTAAAAAATTACATAAAATTTGCAAATACTAAAATTATATATTCATATAGCTACATATATGTACACACATATACACTCTGGGGACAAATTAATTCACCCACCTGGAAACATAATTCTAAAGAGAGAAGAAAATAGCTACATAATATAACTAGTGAAAAAGATGCAGGAAGTATAATTCTATTTCTACTCTCTGATACTTTTAGAGTCATAAGAATTCTGTGCTTACTCTTAAGTTAGGATCATAAGAAATATTGAGAGTACCATTTATATACTGAACTAGTAGTATTTCATTTAGATCTTGTTATAAAACTTATTCATAGCTTAGGAGAACTTGACTTGAAAACTTAATTGCCCTTGTGGTATTAAACACCCACTGGTTATGGACCATCTTTAGGTGCTAATTCCCAGTGTACATTTAAAAGTCTATGCTAGGAGTAGACACATAGACAATATGTGTTAAGATGAGACATTATAGTTCACAGTAATTTAATTGTCAGTTTCAATAGTCTTTCAGATTTATCCTGGTGTCAAGGGACAGCCTATAGGCCATCTACCTGCTACTTGAGCAAACTCCCTGATCGGTGATGACACAGAAGTAGAAAATCTAAAGTTGTTATGGGAAGCAATCCCACAGAGGCTGACTTGTGGGCATGAGTCAAGCCGAATGGAGTCTTCAATGTGCTAATAGAGCAATGCTTTATAGTGCAATGTG